TTCTGAAGATTCAGTGAGAAACTGGACAGTGCCCAGTGTAATTCCTGGCATAGTGGATACATCCCAGAACACTCTGGTCCAGAGTCCTAGAGATGAGGAGGAACAGTGTAAGAAGCCAGACCCTTCCCAGGACCCTTTCTCTCTTCTCATCAGCTCAAGTCATAGCAAGAGTGAATGGAAACTGATTCCTGTTTCACTCCTATCTCACAGAAAAGGAAATAAAGGCTCAAACAAGAAAAGTGGCATACCCATGTCACAAAGACTAATTATCATAAAATGTCCCCTGTTAACTTATTTATTTGGTGCCAGGGATTGAATCCAGGGCTTTGCACATGCAAAGCAAGTATTCCACCACTGAGCTATATCCCAACTGAAAGTACTTTTTTTTTTTTTTTTTTTTTTGCTTTTTTGATTACACCCAGCAATGCTCAGGGCTTACTCCTGGCTCTACACTGGGGAATTACTCCTGGTGATACACAGGGGACCATATGGAATGTTGGAGATCGAACCAGGGTAGGCTGCATTCAAGGCAATGCCCTACCCGTTATAGTATCACTCCGGCCCTCCAAAAGTATTTTTTAAAAATCAATTGTAAAGGATAAAAATGAAAACGTTGTCAAAAGAGACAAAGCTCATGTATAATATTTGAAAGTTAGTTGGACTCTTCAGTTATACCCCAGCTGTTATTCCCTATCATTCTCAGGGACAATTAAAATTTGGAAATCGGACCAGAGTGATAGTACAGTGGATAGGGCACTAGCCTTGCAAGCAATTCAATTCCTAACATCCCATATGGTCCCGAGAGTGATTCCTGAGTACAGAGCCAGGAATAAGTCCTGAGCATCACTGGGTGTGATCCAAAAAACAAACAGCAACAACAACAATAGATCCGGGGTCAGTCTGGAGAGATAGTACAGCCAGTAAAGCTGTACTCGCACACAGCCTATCCAGCTTCAATCCCCAGCACTGCATATAGTCCCTGAGCCCTGATAGGAGTGATCCCTGAGCACAGAGCCAGAAATAAGCCCTGAACAACTCAGGCATTCAATAGGCCGAGCACACACTTTGCATGCTGGAGGCTCAGGTTTGATTTCCAGCCCTTTGTGGTCCCCAGAGCACTGCTAAGAGCCACCCCTGAGCACAGAGGTAGGAGTAGCCCCTGAACATTATGAGGTATGACCTAAAAACTAAATCCAAAATCGAGTTAGAATTGGTGAAAATGCAACACACTCCTCAGCTTTCCTGAGCAATCTCCTCTTTTCTCTTCCAAACCCTTCCTTCCCCAGCCCAGTGATGCACAAATCCTGCGACTGGGCAGATTGGTCCACTTAGCTTGGGTTTAGAAGAGTCACCAGAAGGGTGACTCACCAAGGATGAATTTACTAAATGCTCTTCTTCCTAGCCCAGAAAGAAAGAAGCAGAGAGGAAGAGAGATCTTCAGGTTTCTTCCTTAGAAAATAGTGATCAATGTGTGGGAAGAGCCCAGCACCAGGTCACCCCCGACCAGGCCCTGCCCCTGTGTCATTCCAACCTGGCCATGTCTCCCAGGGGTATATCCTCTTGCGTTCTGGACTCTAGACTCCCCAACTCTAAAGCGGGAAGAACAGGAGACAAGTGGCTTTCAAAAGTCCTCCCAGCTTGGGTCTTCAGAGTCTAGGAATGTGTGGCCTGGCACCTTTGTTCCCAGAATCACCCCAGACACTGCTCTCTCTCTGTCTCTGTCTCTGTCTCTGTCTCTCTCTCCCCAACATACACACACACAAACACACAAACACACACACACACTTGCTCACTTGTTCTCTCTCCCATTAACCTATTTCATTTCTTCTTAACATTCACAATCTGAAAAATCTTACTTATTTATTACTTGACTATTGTCTTTCAACACCAGAATGCCAGTTTTACAGGAGTGGGAACCTTACCTATCATAGAAACTTAGTCTGGTACCTAGTAGCTGGGTTGGTTGATGAATTAATGAACTTGGGATGGTGGAAGGTCTGTGTCCAGTATGACTATGATCTATACCAACTCTTTCACTAGGAATAGTTTAAAATTTAACCTCTAGAGGTGGAGCAATATTATACAACAAGTGGGGCACTTGCCTTGAATATGGTCCATTTAGGTTTGATTCTTGGGACCTCATATGGCCCCTGGAGCCCACCAGGAGTGATCTCTGAGCATAGAGTTAGAAGTAAATCCTGACCTGAGCTCCAATTTTTTTTGTGTGTGTCCCCCACAATAAGGGCTGGAGCGATAGCACAGCGGGTAGGGCGTTCGCCTTACAAGCGGCCAACATGGCCGACCCGAGTTCGATTCCTCCGCCCCTCTCGGAGAGCCCGGCAAGCTACCGAGAGTATTCGATATGCCAGACACAGTAACAACAAAGTCTCCGATGGAGATGTTACTGGGCCCGCTCGAGCAAATCGACGATCAACGGGAGGGCCTTTACCTTTACCTTTTTTTACCCCTTCAATAAATGGGGTTCTAGGGTCTGGGTCTTTGTATGTGTAAGGCCCTGATTTCAATCCCTGGAACTGAAAAAAAATAGTCTCTGAAGTCAGGAGACCTGGACTGGCACTGCAAACTGCCAATTAATGGTTGTATGACCTTAGGCATGTCACTTGACCTCTCTAAACCTTGATTTCTTCATCTGTAAATTGAAGATAATGAGCCCACATCCTAATGTGTATTTTTAGGAATTAGAGGTCCTGTGCATAAACTCATCTCATGCCTTGTAGGTATTCAGCAAATATTACTTCCTCCCTTTCTTATTCTGCTGGGGCATAGAGGCAATGATACATCAAGGGTTTGGACACTGTGGGCCCATTCACAGGAGGTTTCTTATCTATTATCTATCCAGAGCTTTGGACAACCTGGCAGGCTATCGAATGTAACCTGCCCACAAAGCAGAGTCTGGCAAACTCCCCGTGGCGTACCAATATGCTAAATACCAGTAACAATGATGGGTCTCATTCTCCTAACCCTGAAAGAACCTTGAATGTGGCACTTTTTAGAATCTCAGGGCTAGGACGAAGGAGACGTTACTGGTGCCTGCTCAAGGCAATCGATGAACAAGAGGATGATGGTGATCATGATCTATCCAGAGAAGGCAAAACAAAATTGCAAACAATTGGGATGAAGACCATGCAGGAGACTTGTCCCAAGTGACACTGTCACACACTGGAGCAAGCACTGGGTTCCCTGTCCTGGACCAGAGGAAGCTCCTGACTCCAGACATGATGGAGGGAGTGACAAGGGCAGGGTTCTGTTTGAGTTGCCCCCCAGAACAGGCAGTGGCAGCCCTAGTCTGAGGGAGACTTTCTGAGCACGAGTGACTATGGACCCCAAACAAAACAAAAGTCAGGGGGTGGGGATGAGCAAGTATATAGCTCAAAGGACTGGGGCACAAACTTTGCATGTGTGTAGCCTGGATTCCATACCCAGCACCATGTGGTCCCCCAAGAACCTGAGAGTGATGCCTAAGTGTGGAGTCAAACCGGATATGGTGCCAAACAAACAAACAAAAAAATAAGAGAAAAAGGAAATACATCTGAAAGAAAGTAATAACAAGCTTCATCCCTCTGGGCTCTGAAAAGTTGGAGAAAAAAAGCAATATATAATTGTGCAAGGGTCAAGGGGCCGCTGGGCCACAGGAAAGAAGTTCTGGGTTCAGTTGGTTTTCACCCAGGAGGTGTGCCTTGGGTCTACTTCGCCATTGCTGCTACCCCCTATGCTCGGGGCTTATTCCTGGCTCTGTGCTTCTTAACACTCACAATCTGAAATATCCTGGTAGTGCTCAGGGGACCATATGTGGTTGCAAGGCAAGGGTGCTACCCACTGTACTATCACTTCAGCCCCATTAACATTATTTCAATAAAACATATAAACATGTTTTGTCAACTTTAAAAAAATCAGATTAAAAAATTTTAACTATTTAGTGAGCACCTTCTCTACTGCTATTAAGGAAAGTGGTACAGAGAGACTCAGTGATTTGCCTAAAGGCGAACAGGACTTGGGAAGGGTGCCAAGTTAGACTTCCCACAGTAGCACAGAAACCCCTGCCAAAAGGGGCTGCAGAAGGGTTCCAGAGGCTGGGTCAGCAATACCAGCACCTCTGTTCCAGCTTCCTTCCAGCCTCCAGCCGCTAAAACCTGGGGTCCGCGCAAATGTAGTGGAAAGAAGAAGCATCGTAGATTCTGAGCTCAGGATCAGTGCACAACTTTTCCTGCTGTGGGACTTCAAGGAGATCAGGCGCCCTCTTTCAGCAGGTTTCCCCTCCTCTAAAGGGGACCAAAAATGCTGTGTAGATTATAGTAAGTGAAAGCCAATCACGTGGCCCTCAAGTCTGAGACCCCTGGGTTCGATCTTTGGAGCCTTTATTATAATAATCACAACAACAGTAAGTATCTACCTTCGCTCACACATGCTCGTTACCGTTCCTCTATTCGGAAGACGGACAATGAGCACAAGGAGCGTTCTGTGGACTCTAACAAGTGGTGCCATCTCTCCAGGCTTTCTGAAAATAGCGAGGATAATCAGAACCAGGTCAGGAATGCCCAAATTCCTTGGGGCGGGTATGGGGTGGGTGATGCGGCTTGCGGGGGGATTAAGGGGGAACTGATAGATCTCAGTATTCCAGCCCCGCTACAAACCCCACAGTAACCACCCTCCCTTCTGCCCCTGGAGGGCGCAGTCCCTTTCGGTCCAGCACGCCGCTGCCTCCTGACCAATCAGTGACGCGAAAGAAGCTCGCAGAAGGCCCAAAAGAGGGAATTCAGTGCAGGCAGGGGGCGGGGCAGGGGTGCGCCTTCCAGCCAATCGCTGACTCTCTGGCGACCAGTGACTCAGGTGCAAAGCTCTGTTAGCCAATAGCAGAGGCGCTGGGAGGCGGGGCGGCTCCCCTGCGTCACGGCCTCCGGGACCAATGGGCAAGTCGCCCGCGGCCTATAAGAGCGGCGTGGGCCGGCAGCGCGCGGCTCTGGGTTCGGTTGGCCGTCGCCGTCGGAGGTGTGCCTTGGGTCTGCTTCGCCGTCGCTGCCGCCCCGTCGCTGCAGCCGCACCCCCAGCCTTGGCCTCGGCCCAGCGCTCTCCCGGCCTCCTCCGCTTAATCACCCCTGGGTTTCTGCCTTCGAGGCCCCGGGGCCCGGCTAACGATGCCGTCGGGGAGCGAAGCGGAGAGCCCGGACCAAGCGGCTGCGCAGATGGGGATGGCAACGGCCTCGGCGGTGGCCACGGCTGCCCTGGCAGGTGACGGCCCCGACCCGGAGGCCTCCTCGGCCTCCCCCGGACGGCACCTGAGTGGGCTGGGCTGGTCCCAGGTGAAGCGGCTGGACGCGCTCCTGAGCGAGCCAATTCCCATTCACGGGCGCGGCAACTTCCCCACCCTGAGCGTGCCCCCGCGGCAGATAGTGCAGGTGAGAAGGCGGGGGTGTGGGCTCGGTGCTGCGCGCTGCTGGCTGCAAGGCGGCAGGGGCTCATCTGGAAGGAGGCAGCAGAGGAGCAAGGGGGGAGAAGACTCGAGAGGGAGATAATGAAGAGGGACCCTGGCTCCGGGTGGAGGTGAGAACGGCCCCTGGGGGTAGATGTGCGTGCTTACATCCAAAATAATTCTTGTCATCCCCAAACCTTCCTCGCCGGACCTTCCCATCTCATGTTCCTCTCTCAGAGCTCCAGGGGCAGAACCTGTGCCCCCAGAGCCCAGGCTCAGGAGAAGTCCCAGGCAAGGAGCCCTTCCCTCAAAGCAGCAGATCAGTTCTGCCTGGGAGGTGACATTAGTTTAGGCGCCCCCCCACACACACACACAACCCCAACACTCTAAATGGGTCCAGGTGTCAGGCCCCAAGTCCTACATATCTCCTGAGAAGAGAGAGAATTTAGCAACCCCAATACCCTGCTCAGACACCTCGGCATCCTAAAGTTGGTTCTTTCACCCCCATAGTATAGCCCTGTCATGCTCTCACTGCCAGAATGTGATTTATTGTACCTACCTTGTGACTCCACTATAAAAGATAACCTAAAGAGGTGAACATTGAACCTGAGAGAATGTATTTTTTTAGGAGGGGGGTCTTTGGGCTGACACCTGGCGATGCTCAGGGGTTACTCCTGGTGCTGCACTCAGGAATTACTCCTGGCAGTGCTCAGGGTACCATATGGGATGCCGGGGATCGAACCAGCATTGGCCGCATGCAAGGCAAACGCCCTACCCGCTGTACCCGCTGTACCCGCTCCAGCCCAGAATCTATTTTTTCTTGTTTTGGGTTGTATGGGGAGAGGGGGGCAAGTGCCACTACCAATGATACTGAGCCTGGTCGTGCTGATGGGTTCGATGCTGGGGGCCAGGGCCCCCCTCTTTGTAGAGTGGAACAAGCAGTTCGAGGTATTAAGTTGAGTCCCTGGGATTCAGGGATTGTACTGAATCCATTTAAGCTCTTTCGGGACCCTACACCTGGAAGAATTTGGGCTCTTGCTAGAGCCAGCTGCTGCCTAGTCAGGGTTTCCCCCCGCCCTCCCCCTGTTCCCAAGACTCAACTTCCAGGTCTTAGGCAAAGCTTCTGATAGAAAGAGAAAACCCAGCCACCATTCCTACCAGCAGATGGCCTTTCTGGGGAGTGGGCACCTAAAATGGGTGAATCTGTTGAATCTTGCTCCCTTTGCTTCCATGGGGGCAAGGAACGGGAGCTCTTGTTGGGGGGTTACCAAGGAATGTGAGGGTGGGGGCAGATGCCCAAGTGCTGATTCACTCATTGTCCCAGTGGTACTCAGTGTGGCATTCCTCTGCTGCCACTGTCATGGGGCAATTAGGAAACCAGTGGGATTGTCTCCCCAGGACTCTCAGGTCAACCTTTTGGTCCCACCTGCTCTACCTTCAGCACTGTAGTGTCAGACATGAGTGGGGGTAGCCCACTGTGATAGCTCCCACCTTCAGGGATGGGCATCCTGGAAAGGTGGTTTCTGCCTCTGTTGGTCTGGTCCAGTCCACCTTTTCCTGAGCCAGAGAGATAGTATGAGGCTAAGGCACATGTCTTGCAAGTGACTGAGTTATGTTGGACCCCAGCACTGCCAAGAGAGACCCCTAAGCACAGAGCCAGTAGCAGTCCCTGAGCACCATTAGTTGTAGCCCAACAAACAAACAAAAAACACACCATTCCTCTGATCTGCTCTCTCCCAAACCATGGTGAGGACAGCAGGGCCATGGAGGTGACTGGGACCCCGTTTCCCAACTTGTTCATGTTCCCAGCCATGGCACAGTGGCTATGGGCCCATTGGAGGTGACATCATTGTAGTATGGTGGCACATCCTCAGTGAGAGTCAGTCCAGAACAGGGAGCTGTTGGTTGGTCTTGGTGACGAGAGGCAGCAGACCTCTAAGCTGGACTGGACTTCCAGCTTCAGGGCCTGGATAGTCAGTTCCCTTTGAGGATCCCAGTGTCTGTTGAAGGAGGATGGTTTGTCCCTTCCGGTTGTAGAATCTAAAGGGAACAGGTGTCTTCACATGACCTGGACTGTTGCCTCCACTGTCTCCTTGCAGAGTCTGCAACTGGCCACTTCGCAAATATTGAGCTGTTTGTACATGCATGCTTGCATGTATGTGTTTGTGCACATGTGTGAGCACGCATGATTGTGTGTGCACATGTGTGTATGCGTTGGTTCTGCTGCTGGTTGACTCTGGGTTTCTTACCAGGACTAAGTGGTCCCACAGTTTAGTATTGACCTGTTTTCTTACTTGCTTCCCTCACAAATCTGAGCAAATGCATATTCTTGCTTGAATCTGGGCTAGTGGGGATCCTCTCCTGCAGGATGCCTCATTGCCTAGAGTTCTGGAAGGCCAGTTGTAATGAATTTGGCTACCTAAAGGTTCTAGGAGACCTTGGACAAGTCCTTTGCCTTCTTTGGATCCACAGAATTGAATTAGAGAATCTGTTTTCACGATTTGCAGCCAGAGGGCCTGCATTGAATTGCTCAGGAGGTAGGTTTGGGGGTTTTGGTACTGGGGATGGAGCCTACGTTTTCATGCATGCAAGGCTCACCTGTGAGCTACATCTCTGGGTCCCTGGGATGTGAGTGCTGGAAGCCAACGACTGACAGCTATATACGGCCTGCAGCAGAGTGCTTCTGAGAGTACCATGACACAAGAGAAAGGAGGGTGCAGCTACTGCCCCCTCCGTGGCTGGAAAGTCTGATTCAGGAGGCTCCAAGCTGCCCTGCAGTTGTGGGGTGTGGCAGTATCTGGGGACTGCCTGCCAAGCCGGTGGTAGTCATACCTGGGAAAGAGACAACAGCCGCTGGCTGGCTGACACAGCTGGCCACATGGCCTGACGCAGGCGATTTAACGAGGATACTGCTTCCTACTCACCAAGCCAGATGCCATGCCCTGAAGTGGGCACTGAGTAAGGCCCAGTCAGCTCTCATGGGATTTGGGGAGGGGACTGGTCTGTACTGTGGGTCTAGCAGGGTTCTTGAGACAAGGTCTTTGGCTAGCTTCTCTCCTTGCCAACATAGGCATAGCAGCCAGTGCCAAGTTGCAGGCTGTCCCACAGGCCAGACTGCAGAGGTTGGTCCCTTACCCCTAGCTTCCCTCGGCATCTGGCTAGGACACCCCCAACCTCCACCTTCCTGTTCCCCAGCTACTCAGGCACTGAGCTTCGACTCCTCTCATTTTGCTGTTCTGAGAGGGGGATGGGGATATGGGTTGGAACCCTGGTTTCTTGTCTCTGCTCTGGTCCCTGGGATAGAAGTATGCTAGAAAGAAGACAGACTGTGGAGTCAGCCAAACCTGGACTGAAGCACCTCTGCACAATCTTGGGCAAATGACTTCACTCATGGGATCTCGGTTTCTCCATCTTAAAATGTTGATCAGGAGCCAGAGCCATATTACAACGGGTAGGGCATTTGCCTTGCAGGTGGCCATCCAGGCTCGATTCCCCAGCACCCCTTATGGTCTCCCAAGAATTCTAGGAGTAATTCCTGAGACAGCAATAACCCCTGAGCACTGCTGGGTGTTGCCCATAGAACAAAACAAAATAAAATTTAAGTGATAAATAAAAGTGCTGACCACAGGGGGGTGGAGCAATAGTAGAGTAGGTTGGGCAATTGCCTTGAATGCAGCTGACCAAACTTTGATCACTGGCACTACATGTGGTCCCCTGGCCCCACCAGGAGTAATTCCTGAGTGCAGAGCCAGGAGGAACCCCTGATCATTGCTGGGTGTAGCCCTAAACCTAAACGCTAATCACAAAGATCTGTCCTCCAAAGGTTCTGATGAGAAGGCCCAATGTCTGGCACCCAATAGGTGCCTATCCTCTGTTTCTTGTCTCCCCTCCTCCCATCTCCATGACATGACAGTCCCTTCTCCTAGTCAGTCTGTGCTCCCGGAAGCCTTCCTGGAGGGAGCCGCCCGCCTCACATTGCCTCACCTAGGCTTGCCTTCTCAGCAGTTGGGCACATTCTTTGCAGTAATTCCCTGGGAGGCAAGGAGGGTAGCCTGGCCTGGAGCTGGGCGCTGACTTGGCACCAAGGCGGGGTTGCAGAATCACTCAAGGCAGGAATGCAGCCAGGTCACTTTCAGGATGGTGTGTAAAGCACTCTGGGTTGTTGAGAAAACTGAGTGTCCACCTCCTCTCTTCTCCCAGCCAGGTTCTGGGCCCAGGCAAGGCCTCTGGCTAAAGGAGCAGGTTCCTTCCAGCTCCTTTAGCCAGAGGTCCCCAAGCCAGTGATGACTCTGCCAATTGACAGAGGCCTGGGGGGAACTTCTTCAGATCCCAACTTCTCCCCAGTCCTGAGAGCAGAAGGGGGGGGGGGGCGGCGGTGAGTTTTACCTTCTAGTCCTGTGGCTGCTCATGGACTCCTTCTGCCCCCTGAACCTTGGGTGTTTCACCACTGTAATCCTCTGTTTCCTCATCAGAAAATGAGTATATTTGCCTCACTGGGCACCTTGTAAAGATGAATTAAAGTGAGTGTGTCATAGTCAGGAGAACACGCACCACCTAGAACCTGGCTGACAGGGGCTCTAATCTCAGCCCAGATCCTTGGACCAGCAGGTTCCCAGCCCATCTGTGCCTCAGTCCCCTGTTTGCCAGTTGAGATCATAATATTCGAACTGGGATTATTGTGAAGGTGAATGTAGGAAAGAGTGCGACCTACAGGTGACAGTTCTCACATTCTGAGAAGTTAGCACGGTGCCTGGTCCAGGGCTGTGCTTTATTGGTGGCTTTAGAAAGGTGAGTAAGATATAGATCCTGTCTGAGTTTCAGTCCCAGATCTGCATTCACCTGCTGTGTGACCTGAGGCAGATGACTTGGCCTCTCTGAGCTTCTAGTCCCTGTCTATTCAGTGGGAATTATAGGACTATTATAATAGGACTTCATGGGGTTATTGTGAGAATCACCTTGAACTTATATCCTAATATTTAAAGTTGCATTAGGACCTGTCATTCAGTAAGTTCTTTGCTGTGCTTGCTATTCTTTATTACTGTTCTTTCTGAGTCATTCTTCCAAGTGGGCCATTCTCCAGATTAAGAAATCAAGCCTTAACAGTGCCCAAAAGGGGAGAGACGAGAGAGAGAGAGAGAGAGAGAGAGAGAGAGAGAGAGAGAGAGAGAGAGAGAAGAAAAGCTCCTGCCATAGAGGCAGGCAGGGTGTGTGTGGGGTGATGGGAGGGAACCTGGGGACACTGGTGCTGGGAAATGTACATTGGTGGAGGGGTGGGTATTGAAAGACTGTATGATTGAAGTCCAATCATGAACAGTTTTGTAAGGGTCTATCTCAGTGTTTCAGTTTAAAAAACAGTTAAAAAAAAAGAAAAAGAAACAGAAAGAAATCAAGGCTTAGAGAATTAAGTGGCTTCGAAAGATACCGTCAGTGATCCTGTGTTGCACACAATGTCCTGATTGCTGACCCCTCTCACTCCTGCCCACCCTATCCAGGTGGTCCGCAGCAGCCTGGAGGAGCGGGGTCTTTGCGTGCACAGTGTCCGGCTGCATGGCTCTGCGGCCAGCCACGTGCTGCACCCCGAGAACGGCCTGGGCTACAAGGACCTGGACTTGGTGTTCCGCATGGACCTGCACAGTGAGGCGGCCTTCCAGCTCACCAAGGAGGTGGTGCTGGCCTGCCTGCTGGACTTCCTGCCAGCCGGCGTCCGGCGGGCCAAGATCACGCCCCTGACCCTCAAGGAGGCTTATGTGCAGAAGCTGGTGAAGGTGTGCACGGACTCCGATCGCTGGAGCCTCATCTCCCTGTCCAACAAGAGCGGCAAGAACGTGGAGCTCAAGTTCGTGGATTCGGTGAGGCGCCAGTTCGAGTTCAGCGTGGACTCCTTCCAGATCATCCTGGACTCACTGCTCCTCTTCGGCCAGTGCTCGTCCACGCCCATGTCCGAGGCCTTCCACCCGACCGTCACCGGCGAGAGTCTGTACGGGGACTTCTCCGAGGCGCTGGAGCACCTGCGGCAGCGCGTCATCGCCACGCGCAGCCCCGAGGAGATCCGCGGCGGGGGCCTGCTCAAGTACTGCCACCTGCTGGTGCGGGGCTTCCGGCCGCGGCCCAGCACCGACGTGTGCGCGCTGCAGCGCTACATGTGCTCGCGCTTCTTCATCGACTTCCCCGACCTGGTGGAGCAGCAGCGCACGCTGGAGCGCTATCTGGAGGCCCACTTCAGCGGGGCCGACTCGACCCGCCGCTACGCCTGCCTGGTGACGCTGCACCGCGTGGTCAACGAGAGCACCGTGTGCCTCATGAACCACGAGCGCCGCCAGACGCTGGACCTCATCGCCACCCTGGCGCTCCAGGCGCTGGCCGAGCAGGGCCCGGCCGCCGCCGCCGCGCTGGCCTGGCGCCCTCCGGATGGGCTGGTGCCTGCCACTGTTAACTACTATGTGACCCCCGTGCAGCCGCTGCTGGCCCGGGCCCACTCCTACCCGACCTGGCTGCCCTGTAACTGACTCGGACCCTGGGTCACGTGGAGGACCTGAGCCCTCTAACCGCGTAGTCCCAGCCTCCCCTGAGGGAGAGGGCTCAGGGCTGCGGGCCAGCCAGGGGCTCTTTGGCACATGGTCCCTTCGGTCATCGCACCACCCTCTGATTGTGGGGTGCAGGGCTATTTATCTTGAAGGTCAGTTGCCTTCAGGTGACAAAGCATATCCGGGGTGGTAACTTCTGTGCCTGGGTTCATTCCTGTGGCCTGGAAAGACTTTTTGGCTAGCACCAACCTGCACACATTCCAGCAATCCACACAGTTACCAAGATATGGTATATAGGACCAGGGATGTGGCTCAATAGTAGAGCACTTGTCTTGCATGTTGCGAGGCTCTTAGTTGGATTCCTGACAGCGCCTCCCCCCCCCAAAAAAAAAAAAGTCAAAGGAAATACTCAGTTTGGGTCAGGTTAGGCCACTAGCAGGGTTTGGTGGTTCAGTCACTAGAAAGGAAAACAGGGACATGAGGCACTTTCCTGGGTGTGGAGAGTAAGAGGTTAGCCCAGTTCCTAGCACCCCTATCCCAAACTATTGAAAAGTGCAGTGGCAGGAGGGACACAGCTCATGCACCTCCTGGTATGTGGTGAGGCTCCCTGCTTCTCACCTAGAAACGTGTCCTTTCAAGCGTGCTAGAGGCAGAGTGCTGCCTAAGTCACAGTTCCTGCCCCACTAGCTGTGAAGCCGTTAGCACCTGGGGAGGGGAGCCACACCTGCCTCTTTTCCAGCCCTGTGCCTTTGTTCCTGTAACACCTGCCAATAAAGACTGTCTACACTTCCAGAGAGATAGTACAGGAGGTCAGGCACTTGCCTTGCATGTGGTTGCCGTGATCATGACCTTAGTTTGATCCCCTGCACCACATATGGTCCCCCTGGTTCCTGGGCAGAGTCAGGAACAGCCACCAAGCACCACCTGGTATGGCCTAAACTGCCAAAAGAAAAAGAAAACAAGTTTGTCTACACGGAGTCCTGTACCCTCTCTCCTGGGAGATGGGCCTTCCATGCTGAGCTGCCAGGCATCCGAGTCCCAGCTGGGGCAGAGGTAATGCCACTCCTTCCGCCACCAGCCTGCCCGCCCAGGGGAGCTACACGCACTGACTCCTCAGGTCTCCAGGAAGAGTCAGTATTTCAGGGTCTTCTCCCTGGAATCCCACTGACTTGGGAGTCTTAGCCTCAGACTCCAGGGCTCCAGCTACTTAAGCCCCAGCTCTGCACCTCCTCCCACCCTGCCCAGTCTCAGGATGCAGATGGACAACAAGTGAGGTGAACCTAGGCTGGAGGGATAAGATAGGGTTGGGATGGGAGACAAGTGCCTCACTTCCTATACTACCTTGAGTTCATCAGCAGGGATGGTGCACCCACAGGCACCCACCAAGCAGATGAGGTGGCAGGACTCACCCTAGTGACCTAAGGCCTCTTCTGTGGCCTTGCTTTTTCAACCCTGGCTGGAACCATCAAAGCCACCACTTCAGAGGCCCTAATGAGGCTGAATATGTTAAGGGCTTCACAATTCTTGGATCAAAGAGGCTGGATAAACAGTGGGCAGCGTCCAGGCTCTGACTGGTTGTGCCCTGAGGGAACAGGAAGTAAAGCACCTGCCTTGCATCCCACCAACCCCAGTTCAATCCCCAGCATCACATATGGTCCCCCAGGCACTGCCAGGAATTATTCCAGGAATGGCCCCTGAATACTGCCTTGTGTGGCCCTGACACCCTGCCCCACCAAAAAAAATGAAAGAAGGAATTGGGCAGGAGAGTTCAAAAGGCTAGCACATGTTTTAAATGCAGGAGGCCTTAATCCCTGGGACTGCATCATCCCCTGAACATCGTTGGGTGTGGCCTATGCTCCTTACCCAGCCCCTGACAAAAAAAAAGACTGGAAGGGTGAGTGGAAAGGCTTTCTTTGCTCTTAAAACAGAGTCCACCTCACTCCCACTCCTGCACACAGACTCTGGATGAAATGAAGTATGTTCTTGCTCCTGACCAAGGCATGAGGCTCACAGTATACACACAGGCTTGGCTTGGTGAGTGGGGAATGGGGTGTACCTCAATGTGCTTGTTTCAGAGGTTAAAAAAGTCAGAAACAAAAATTAAATTCTACTGGGCTAAAGAGACAGTATGGCAGCTAATGCTGGCTGCCCCACAGGAACTTGAGAATACACTGACCAGCAAGACCACTATCCTTGTGAAGACTGCAATCCCAGGCTCAAGATGTGAAATGATAGTTTTAGATCAGTGATGCTTAGGCAGGAGCAATAGTACAGTGGGTAGAGTACTTACCTTGCACGTGGCTGACCCAGGTTCAATCCCCAATATCCCATATGGTCCCTAAAGCACAGCCAGGAGTAATTCCTGAACGCAGAGTAGGAATAACCCTTGAGCACACCGAGTGCAGCCCAAAAACAAAAGAGAAGGAGCTCAGCGATGATTTAGTAGAGTCAAAAATTCAATGTGCAGGAGTTTGCAATATTTATGATGCCAAGATGTAACTCATTGAAAGAAGGACATTTGAAAAAGACTGAAAGACAACAGGAATGGAGTGACCAACACCTGAGGAAGGGGTGTGTTACTGAGGGTCAGTGTGCACACAACCTCAGCAGGCATGAGGGAAGTGGCCACTGGCCTTCTAGAACACTCGTTTAACTACATCAGGCAGTGCTCAGAGATTACTCCTAGCAGGGCTTGGGGGATCACATGAGGTGTCAGGGATTGAACACCGTTCAACTGCATGCAAGGCAAGAGCCCTTCCCAGTATCCTGTCTCTCCAGTCCCCCTTCTGGAACACTTGGTCCCAGCCAGACTAAGGTCTTCCCTATCACTTTTTAGTTTATCCTCTCAATAAGCTCAAGATTTCTTTTTTTGGTTTGGGAGATCTTTTTGGGGGTGGGGTTGGGGTTGTGTCATTCCTGGGAGCATTCAGGAATGACTCCTTGCTGATGGCAGAACGGGTATGTGCCTCCAGGATTAAACGGGTTGGCTGCATTCAAAGCAAGTGCCTTAACCCTGTACTAACTCTGACATAAGGGAAAAGCAATTTTTACATTTCTGTTGCCAGCAAGGAAATTGAGGCCAGAAGAGTAAAAAATTGTGATTCCTGTTAAGCCCTACACAATCCTAATACTGTGATTTCACACAGTAACTCCCCATACAGACCATGTGACAGTGGGCTTATACCACTGTGTCATGTATGACCACAGAGCATAGCAGTATGCCAAGATAGGTATTTCCTTGATGCACATGTGATACCAGCCATGACTTTTGATTGTCAGAGGCCTGTGGCAGCAGGCGCGCCTAGAGGTGTGTTTTGGGGTGGTACAGTGTTTCTGGGTATAAGAAAAATACTCACTGGCTGACATTATTCCTCACATGACTAGTTCCTACAGCTAATATGCTGGACAGGCAGGAATCAATTGGGAATCAGGGCTGGAGTGATAGTAGAGTGGGTAGAGCATTTGCCTGGTACACAGCCAACCTGGGTCCAATCCCCAGCACCCCAGATAGTCCCCCAAGCCTATCAAGAGTGATTTCTGAACTCAGAGCCAGGAGTCCAGGAGTAAGTCCCAAGCATTGCCAGGTGTGCCCTTGCACCTTTAAAAAAAAAAGTAGGAATCAGAGGGTACAGAGATTGCACAGGGAGCAGGGGTTATGGTACTTGCCTTACATGGGGCTGATTCTGGCTCCATTCCTGGAACATGATACTTGAACGTCACTGGGTGTATCCACCCCTCCCCCAGACACACAAAGTGGGCATCAGAGCCAGAGAGGGGATGTCTGCCCTCCTCCATGCTCTTCAAGAAGCCACTGATTATGACCCTTGGTGGGTGGAGGGCTCCAGAGCAGGGGAAAGCATGCTCATGAACTTTGAGGGAAGAGAAGAGATTCCCCTGGCCTGACCCGGCCCCTGTAGTCCCACACTGTGTCATTCTTGCTCTGTCCGAGAGGCTGACCTCTGGATCACACATCAATGGCTCCGTTGTTCCCTGCCTTCCTGCGGAGTCAGGCCAGTGCGGGGCCCCTGCAGGAGATTGGAGAATGGGGTGTTTATTCCAAGGATCTGACAGGGCCTGGCGTCCTCAGCAGCCACACCATCCTCCAGAGTCTCACACAAGCTCTCCCATGCGCTGGCTTCCTCTTCACAACCTAGAGAAGCTCAGCCCTGCACCAGGTGCAGGGAAGCAGGCTGCAGACCAGACCAGCCCCCAGGCCGACTGCCAAATGAAACTGCACGGGAGCTGTCCCAGGAACTGCGTCTCCCGAGCCGTGACAGACACAAAGGAAGGGCAGACGGTCCGGAACAGGCAAAGTGAACCTCAGAGCCACACACATTTCTCTTGCATTGCTGACATTTATTCTTCCTGATTAGGTAACTCAGGGGACGGACTCCAGATACATTCATTTTGCAGAGTTCTACAAGTTTGAGCTGTGTGTGAGGAAGTGCGCCCCCTCCTACTCCAATATCAGGACACTTGAATAAATAATAAATACTTTCATCTTTTCATTTAAAACTTTGCTGAGAATTTTTGGTTTTTTTTTGGGAGGGGGTGGGGAGGAAGAGGATCAAACCCAGGGCCTCACACGAGAGTCATTCACTATTTAGAACTGTGCTGCTGTCATTTAAGAGGTGTGTTCCCCCAGGAATCAGTAGCTGATCCTCTTTGAGGTGCTACAGGGACACCCCCCATGGAACCAGGAAAATGAAGGCTTTCTCAGGCCAGTGCTAACCCTTCAACTTGTCTCCCAGAGCCCATGGACTCAGAAGCAACGGCATCAACAAAAATGGGGCCCCACTATGCTATGACTTATTTAAGAATGATGACTACATTTTAAAGACAAAGTTTGTGTTTCCACATTGGAAGTATATACTGCACTCTCAAATAATCTGCACCAGAGACACCTTACCATGTTGCTAAGTGTGCAGAGTAAGCCTAAATCAAATTTAGCAAATAGAAAGAAATAGAGTATAGATAGCCTCCCAGCGGCCAACCCCCGCCGCTGCCTGGGACAGGAGGAGAGCACCAGGCTGTGGAGGGTCCACTGGCGAAGGCTTCCTGGAGGAGGTGCCCAGGGAAGGAGCAGAATCCCAGCATGCTGACCAGAGCAGTTCCAGGGCGCAGAGGAGCTGGGATGTACTGGAAAGAATCATCATAAAAATTTTAATTATTTCTTTCCCATAGCTACCCAGCACACCGAGCCCCCGTCCGAGCCCCCATCCCCACCCTAACACAACAATTACCTCCAAAAGAGGGTCCTAGAAAGACTGGGAGCTCATGGGGCTGGAGAGGCAGCACAGCAGGTAGGACACTTGCCTTGCATATGGCCAACCTGGGCTCAATCCCTAGTATTCCTTATGGTCCCCTGAGCAACACCAGGAGTGAGTGATTCCTGAGCGCAGAACCGGGAGTCACTTCTGAGCATCACTAGGTATGACCCAAAAAGACAAAAGAAAAAGACTGGGAGCTCAACGTTTCCCTTTGGGCCTTTGTCCTTGGCTGGAATCCCCACTGGTCTGAGCAGCCAGAATGGAATGTTCCTAGGATGAACGCCTAACGCCTGCCCCTCTGCCTTCCCCTTAGAAGAGTCCCTCAGGGCTTGTGTGTGAGGTGTGGGAGGGCATATGGAGGGGTGCAGGGGGCAGGGACTGTTCTGAATTCCTGATATGGTGATGTTGACAGAAGCAGATGGCTGCTGCCCGTCTCTCCTGAGTGCGACACACCACCCTCTACAGAGCTCCACCATGCACTAGACACTTGCTGAGACCTCCCAGTTACCTCCTCCCTAACTCCCAGAAAAGGCAGAAACTTGCTGATTCAGAGAAGTTGTTTGCCCAAGACTTTCCAGACAAGACTGAATCCCAGGTGTGTCCAATTCCAAGGCTGAGGCACTTTCTGCCCCACCCCCACCCCCCCGAAGATCCTGTCACCCTTCTCCTTGGCCACCAGGGTTTCTTGACTCCTTGGCACCCAACACTGCAGTCCAAGTGTGAGGGGAGAAAAAGCAGACCTCCCAGGCAAGTGGAGGTCCTGAGCACCCCTGGCCTGCCCTTCTGGAAGCCAGATGTGCCCATGTGCCAACACACACACACACACACACACACACACATATACACACACACACACACACCTCGACCCAGCAGTAG